GTTTATTTAGTCCATTCCTTGTTGTTCCAATTTAAATAGAGAAGTATTTTTTTTCCTGTCTTTCTCTTCTTTTGCTGAAGATTGATGTTTAGAAATGCGAACTCAAACTTAAAAGTATGAAGTTGGATATTGAATTTAATCAAGCAGGACTTGAGTATCTCCTTCTATTGTATTTAAGCCTATATTCAGAACCTTTTCGGTACCAACTGATAATATGATTCTTATAAACATATAATAACCTTGAACGTCCTTTCCAAACAGTTCTTTCTGCACAATACAATTTAGCAAGGAGAAATGGCAAATTCATTCTGCACAAAAGTCAGTTTAGCAGATTGATAAAAATGAGCAAAAGAACTATGTTACATAGAAATAAATACATAACAGGTATTATTTATTTGTTTCAACCATCTTTGGATATTAGGGAACTGAGACCTTCTGATACACTACCAGGCAATGGGAAATAAATACTTTGAATAGAATAGAATAGAATAGAATAGAATTGAATAGAATAGAATAGAACAGAATAGAATAGAATCTGGAAGGGACCTTGGTGGTCATCTAGTCCAATCCCCTGCTCAGGCAGGAAACCCTATACCATTTCAGACAAATGGTTGTCCAGTCTCTTCTTAAAAACTTCCAGTGTTGGAGCATTCACAACTTCTGGAGGCAGGTTGTTAAACCCTATAATATGCAATTCACTTTCTTGGCTTCAAAATGAGAGGCACTACAAACTTAGACAATTTGCACAATGGAGGGAGAATGTAGGGATTCCTACTACCAAACTGAATCAATACCCAGATGGCTTCCATAATTTTACAAAGGAGCTTTCATAACTATTTTTCTTTACTAAATACAACCATCTGGCTAGATGTTGTTCTTGGCTGTGGAACTGGCCATTTTCAGATCAGGTGAAGAAATAACAAAACAGATGGTTGAACAGAGAAAAAAAATGCCTGATACAGCAGATTAGGAAAATGTCCATGCCACTGTAGATATTTCCAGTGGTAGATAGTTGGTGGTAAATGTTAGGAATTCTGGAAGCTAGAAAAGTCCAGCTTCAATGGAAACAACTCCTTGCCTGTTAATCCTTCAATATCCTGCTGTACTAAAGAGCTACCACACTGCAATCATTTGCTTGGGGTCAGAGGTCACAGTGGGTGGCTTCTTAGGTTGCGCCTCAGGTACTTAATCTGAGGAGGAAAGATGGGGATATGAAGAAATATGGAGACTCAAGGATGCAGACTCTGCTCTAGAATCTGGAACCAAGAGGGGGAAAAAAATCCTTGATCCTTCCTAGAAAGAAACCCTGACTTTTCCCTAACCTTTTCCGGTTGGCTCCGTCCCCTCTGCTTGACCATGAATCCCACAACAGGCTAAGCTAGAAACCAATCTGCAATTCACAAATCATACTAAGAAAAACGAAACAAAACAAAACATAGGATAACATATTTTGAGGTGTGATTTCAGTTAACCTGTTCCAGTAGGCATTTTCCCCCCCTTCCAAACAATGCAGGAGTCAGTGGGTAAGTCAGCCTTGGGTAAAAGGCCCCCACAACAGCAAACCCAGGGAAACCTGGCAATCAATCAAAGGCAGATCAAGGGTCAGCTTGAGGTGAAATGACAGCTGACCCAGGCAAATGCCAAACTTGTTATTGTGCCCATTCTCATTAAGAGATGCCCAGACACCGCATCAAATCTACAACTGCCACCACAAGCCTGCTATGATTTTAGTGCAATAAAATAAAGGATAATATCTCCTAATTATTTTATTGTGAATACTGGGTTATTCTGGAGAAAAATTATTTCTGTAAAGAGTAACAATCCTGAGCCTTAAAGAGTATGATTGCAGGATCCCAGGTTGGCTTGATCTCTACCTGCTTAGCTTCAGTCATGTTGCTCGTTGGGTTAGCATAATCCCAAGAATAGTTGGCATTAACTTACCATATCCAGTTCATTCAGCCTGCGGGAGAGTTTCTCTGACATTTCAGAGATTTTTTTCTTTGCTCGCCTATGGGGAAGAGAGTCTTCTACAAAAGAGTCTGCCAGAGCAGGACGTTCATTCTGGCTGGGAAATCAGAGTGAAACATGATTAAATAACACACACACACACACACACACACACACACACACACACACACACACGGGGGAGGGGGGGAGAGTAGGTGGGAGTGCAAAGTAGACCACAGTGGTTTACAAAAGTCAGCTAAAAGTCAATCCCAGGTATTAATATTAAGGACAATAGACCCTGAGCTGCATTTTGGCAGTATCATAAACATTCACCGATAGGTCCCAGTAGATGCACATCTGTAACTCTTTGCTAGTTCCATAAATAGGCCTGGTGATTGAAGAAATAATATTCAATGCACATCTATGAGCTTTAAGATGAACACTGAAAGTGTACAAATGGGATCATCTTAAGCATGTAAGACAGTGTATGGGGCACTATCCCTGTTTTTCAAGAGGAAAACAGGAAGATGGGTAGGTAGAAAAGGAGAAAAAGAGAGAAGAAGAATTGAAAGAAAATAAAAATAAAAATGAACATTAAAAAACCCAATAAGAACATTGTTGTAATTCAATGTTGTCTTTTGGAGGCTTAAGCTCCGTTTCTTCTTTTAACTGTTCTTCAGGCAAGCTGCCCAGATGGGCAGGCTCCAAACTAAATGAATAAATAAAACCTCCCTTAATAATACTTCATTGTTCTTTACATTAATGCATCGATTAAAAAATCTTAATGGGATCATGTGTTCAAGAACGTTTTAGAGCCAGCGTAGCATTCAGCCCTGTTCAATAATTGTATTTGACTGTAACCCACTTCTGAAAAATTACTTTTCACAAAAGGATTTACTCTATTTTTATTTATCAAATATAGAGACTTCCCATTTCAGTCACAAAGTGACTCTACACGTTGTACAGTTAAAAACATAGAAACATAAATACCACATAAAAATGTATTTCAGTAAAAGGCAGTTAAAACAATAGATAAAAAGGTGGGGGGACATCAAAGTGCTAACCAACCTCAGGTCTTCACATTCTTTCAAAAGGCCATGAGAATGGGGACCAATCTCACCTCTGGGAGGAAGATATTCCAAAGGGCAGGTCAATGGCAGAAAAGGCTCTCTTCCTGGATCCTACCAGTGGGACTTCTTTAACTCAGGGGTCCCCGACCCCCAGTCTGTGGACCGGCACTGGGCCGTGGCATGCCAGAAACTGGACCACGCAAAAGGAACCACAGTAAAGAAACATTGCCCTAACTGACATCATCAACTCCCATCATCTTTAGCCAATAGACTGAATGACCTGTAGAGCAGTACAATGTGAAAAGCCCCAGGTTGGTGGCAATATATATATGAACTTGGAGGAAGAGGGACCCCAAATTCCATTTTGTGTGAAGGAAACACATACCTTTTCCCAATAAACAGGTTCCTTTGTTTGGGCCTTGTGGTTTGTATAGGGGTGAACTGAGTAAATCCATTCTCCTTGCAACTCCAGATCGATGTGTGCTGCGAACTCCTGCCTATTTCCTTTTGGGGGGGGGGGAGAAACTTTCATTCAGACAGCCCGGGATAAATTCAAGATTATAACTGGTGTTAAAAGTAATAAAGATCAGACTGCAAAAAGAAAAATTGCCAAATAGAATTACTATGATAATACAGAAAATTAGGTATTGGCAACCTTTTAAACAACAATATTTACAGCAGGATTACCAAGCCAGAAGGGCATTTAGAGTTCGAAACTATCCACAACAATCATTTATACATTAAATGCTCCTTAAAGAAAAAAAAAATGGGAAATGCAGTCTTTCAAAAACTCAGCAGTCCCAGATCAAAGTAAAACCAGACATCAGTTTTTTAAAATCACATTTTCATAATGGGAATTGTTTTTATGTATGCTTCCCTAAAAAGAGTTTTCAGTAAAAAAAGATACTACATGACCTCTGAACTAATAGTAAATATTTAAGCTAGGATGATGGTAACATTCCAGTTCGTCGTATCAGAGGACCATCATAATAAAGATATACCAAACCAATAAAAATATGATCAGACTGACCATCAAGCAGTAATGTCAGTATTAATTTGTATTTGAAATATTACTGTAAGCTAGGGTTTGACATACTTGCATTAAACCATAGTTAACCTTATTTAGAAAAATGATCAATTTCTCATTTTTGCAAACAAAATCCTTGATAGATGCCAAAGAAACATAAACTCCTCAGATTAGTTTTCCGCCCATTGTTAGATCTACTTCTAGCTCCTCCTCACCACTAGAATTCTCTGTAGATCGTCACCAACTCCACTCTACATCCCAAGATCTCTGATCTTCACTTCCCTCTCAGTACTTAGCCTTTTAAAGGTCTATTAAATGATTTGACTATTCAAGCTTTCTTTCTTATGAGCCTGATATATACTTCTAGAACACTTGCACAACGCTGTAACTTTTATTTCCATATGCATCCTTTCCAGATGAACCTTTTCTGAGAAATTCTGTGCTGAACTCTCGGTCTTCATCTCATGGATTGGACATATCTTTGAATTCTTCTGTCTCATCCTGCATTCTTTCTCAAGATTCCCATTAGAATTTTCAATTTGTAATGTTGGCCAGGAATCAGAGGATTCTGCTGATTGGCCAAAAGGAACATATGTCGAAGATGGCAGGTCTCAGCAGGCCTTTGAGGCCATGGAAAGTTTTACAGGAAATATGTGGGTTAGGTATGTGATCAAAACTACAGGAGCCTTGCTTGGTTATTTTTATTATTTCTATATTTTCTATCTCTTATCTGTTGTATGCCAGCTGCATATTATGTAATGAAGTGAAAGCAAAGAAATGTATAAATATCTGCCTAGCACTATGCTATTAGATTCCTTCCTTCTTGGAGGGAGCCGTCTTTATTCAGCTGAATAAACACGTTGGCTTATCATCACAGCCTCACCTGTCAATCTGCATTAGTGGTTACCTTGAACACATAACAGATAGATTTGTAGGCAACTAAACAATGTGTTACCTTTCCTGCATCATGTGAACTGGCTTGTGGCAATGATTCACTAGTTACACCACCTCCTGTTGCTGATGGTTCAGTTGGAAAATCTGAGCAGAAGTCCAAAGAAATTAACAATAGAAATTAGGTACAGAAATATAGCTGTAAGTTCATTAAATACGAAACATTCACTTATTAGATTTATATAAAAGGCGATGCCCCAAAAACCCAAGGCTTCCACTGAGAAGACATATTTGAGAAAAGTGCAAATGCCTGGAAGACTTCAGTGCTGAAAAACCTGGATGCCTTTGAACAGTAGCCTTAAGATTAGACTGCAGCTTGGTGTATAAAAACATCGGCGCTATTGTTTTCAAGTGGAATTGGTAACACTAAAGGACTAAGGTAAGGCATTGCACAGAATTTTTGTCTGTATTTACGGAATTTGTAGTTCTCTTCTTTTCAGAAAATTATGGTAAATATCTTTCTCACTGCAAGGGACAATAAGATTCACCATTATAAAGTTATCTCAATTTATTTACTTGATTAGGGATTTATGTGTCTTCTTTTAAAATAAGGAATTCCAAGAGTATGAGTAAAGACTTGAAACCTTTCATAGGCTGTCATTGATCAAAATGATTGGAAACAAAATTTTTATTTATAAATCTAATCCAGAGGTCCAAGGGAAGATCTGTTTTCTGTTTATACGCTTGTTAATTAGATTTCTAAAGTGTTTCTCCAACTATAAATAACAGTATTGCTAATATCCAACGAGCAACAGTGTTTGCAAAAATAAAGATGTTATATTAGCAGAAAAATAATTGTAAGAATTAGCACAGCTAAAAATAACTTCATGTTTCTGCCAATGTCTGCTTTGTTTCCATTGTGCCACAGGGTGCCCTTAGATCAGTGGTGGTGAAGCTATGGCACGGGTGCCAGAGGCAGCACTCAGAGCTCTCTCTGTGGGCACAAGTGCCATCACCCAAGTCCTAGGCCTTCAGCTGGGTTTTATAAAACCTTTTCGCTTTAGGCCTCCACTGCCATGTGCAAAAAAAAAAAAAAAAGATCTTGCAAAGTTGGAATTGATTGAACTTTTTAGTCCCACCCAGTCTGCCGTTACTACCGCAGCCACGCCCACCCAGTGGGCCACGCCCACCCAGTGGGCCACACCCACCCAGCACCCGACGATGCATAAGTGGATTTTAGGTTGTAGTTTGGGCACTCGGTCTCTAAAAGGTTCACCATCACTGCCTTAGATTATGTCCTGATTGACATATCATATTATGCACCTGAGGTTTTTTGAGCAAGCATCTGTTAACTCACTCTTCATGGTTTGTCATTATCTGTGAGTTCACCCATTATAACTTGTTCAAGTGACATAACAAGATTTAGCCCCAGGAACATAACTGTCAGATTTGAGATGGCAATGTTTTGCATAGGAAATTAAGATCTATACTTGTCAGACCTCTACAAAATCTGTAATTCACTTAAACTTGGGGAAGGTGTGAAAACATAACCACAGCTGTCCACTTGACCCAAGAGTGGAAACCTGTTGGATGCTAATGACTATTGCCACAATATGCATGTCCAATTGTCAAGGATAAAAGAAGGAAGTATGTAGCAATAACTGGAAGGCCACAACTTCTCCCTCCTCACTTAAAATTCTGACATATAAAGTAGAACTTGCTTTAAACATTCCAGTCCACAAGCATTGAATTCTTACAAGTCTAATCCCATGCTACAAATCAATAGCAATTCAGAGTAGCAAAGAATGTGACTTTAATATATATAAAAAACACTTTAAAGGGTGATTCTTACAAGATGTAGCATCTGGAAAAGACCGGATGCCATCTGAAAAAACAGGAGATTCTCGCTCAGGAGGTTCTGCAAGCTATAAAAGAAATGCAACACAAATGAAAAGACACATAGTAAAATGATCAAAACAAGTAGGCTGAAAGATCCATTAATATATGCTTAATGAGCATAGAGCCCTGGTGGCGCCATGGTTAAAATGCAGTACTGCAGGCTAACTTTGCCGACAGCCAGGAGTTCAATCCTTTAACACAGAGGTGTCAAACTCAATTTCATTGAGGGCCACATCAGCATTGTGGTTGCCCTCGGGGGGGGGGGGAGTGTGTGGCCAGGGTGGGTGCGGCCTACTGGGTGGGCGTGGATGGAGTGGGTGTGGCCTACTGGGTGGGCATAGCCAGCTCTACATTGTTCGCGTCAAAGGTGCATGTGGGCCTGGGCAGGAGTGGGACAAATCTGAGGGTCTCTGGAAGAAGGGGTTGGGACCGGGGCAAGCACCAAGGAATGGTGCATTTCTTCATTCCTCACAGAGTATGACACCTCCCCAGCATGCACCCAGGGGGTGGGGCCAACACGGCAGGGGCTGGTTTCTCGCTGTTTCTAGACGGCCTTGTGGAGCTAAAACTGAGTGTGTTTCAGCATAGATGGCCACCACAAAATTATACATTGGCTCCCGGCGGGCCTGGGACAGGGCCAAGGCAGCAGGGGCCGTTCCCTCATTGTTTCCAGGATGGCTTCGCAAGCCACATGAAACCACTTCGCAGGCCGCATCTGGCCCCCGGGCCTTGTGTTTGACATGTCTGCTTTAACAGAATAACAATAGAGCTGGAAGGGACCTTGGAAGTCTTCTAGCCCAAATCCCCTGCTCAAGGAGGAGACCCTATACCATTTCAGACAAGTGGCTGTCCAATCTCTTCTTAAAAACCTTCAGTAATGAATCATCTACAACCTCTGAACGCAAGCTGTTCCACTGATTATAGGTAGCCCTCAACTTACAACCACAACTGAGTCCAAAATTTCTGTTGCTAAGCGAAGCAGTTAATTTTGCCCCATTTTACAACCTTTCTTGCCACAGTTGTTAAGTGAATCACTGCAGTTGTCAAGTTAGTAGTACAGTTGTTAAGTGAATCTGGCTTCCCCATTGACTTTGCTTGTCAGAAGGTCTCAAAGGGGGATCCCATAACCCTGGGACGCTGCACCCAGTGGTGGGATTCAGCCGGTTCACACCACTTCGGCAGAACCAGTAGGTAATTTTTGGTTGCCCAGGCCCAGAATGGACTTCCGGAAGTGGCACCCACACAGAGAACTGGTGGTTCACATATTTGAATCCCACCACTGACTGCACCCCTCATAAATATGAGCCACCTGCCAAATGGCCGAATTTTGATCACCTGACCATGGATGCTGCAATGGTTATAAGGATGAAAAAAGGTCATCAGTCACTTTTTTCAGTGTCGTCGTAACTTCAGTCACTAAAGAGACTGTTGTAAGTTGAGGACTACCTGTACTTGTTCATGTTTGGCATGTTGAGGGCAGGGCTACCATGAGAGGGGCTCAAAAACTGTCAAAGGTCTGGCGGCCTTCCAGTTCCTTCAGCTGGGCACGTCTGACAGGCTCAAGCCTTCCATCCTTCCGAGGTGGGTAAAATGAGGACCCAGATTGTTGGGGGCAATATGGTGACTCTGTAAACTGCTTAGAAAGGGCAGTAAAGCACTGTGAAGCGATATATAAGTTTAAGTGCTATAGCTATTACCGTTTTAAAATTTAACATTTAAATTACAAAATATTCTACAAATAAAAGAGCACACATTTCTCACCTTAAAAGCTAAAATCAACAGTAAATTTTGACTGAAACACACATTCCAACAAAAAAAAATTGTACTAATTTCTCATATGGAAATTAATGCAGTTTTTCTATTGCTGGAATGTGTGTTTCAATTAAAATTTCATATGAGGTTCACTTACTCCTTTTCCCTACAACTTTTCCCATCCCATAGCTCGTCAACTTCATATATTTCAACAATATGCTTCCACTCCTTGTATCCAACAAGGTGTGACAGATTTTCTCAATCTCTAAACATGTTGAAGTTCAAGTCTCATGGACCCTAGTTAGCTAGCATCCTTGGTACATTCCTGCCTAGCAAGTGTTTATTGGAATTGAACTCAGTTCAGAGTCACTTGATAGTGAGATGGGAAGCATATAAATTTAATAGATAAATAACATAAATAAAAATTCCAGTAATTTGGAAAACCACCTAGAGCAGGGGTGTCAAACTCAATTTCATTGAGGGTTGCATCAGCATTGCGGTTGCCCTCAGGGGGCTGGGTGGGTGTGGCCAGGGTGGGTGCAGCCTACTGGGTAGGTGTGGAGTGGGTGTGGCCTACTGGGTGGGCGTGGCCAGCTCTAAATCGTTTGCGTCAAGGGTGCCTGTGGGGTCCTGGGCAGGAGTGGGACAGATCTGAGGGTCTCTGGCAGAAGGGGGTGGGACTGGGGCAAGTGCCAAGGCATGGTCCACTGGAGGAGCCTCACAGTTCCTCTCAGGCCATGCGGGGGGGGGGGTTTGTGGTGTGGGCTGCCCGGAGCCCTGGGCAGCAGAGGTCAAATGCCCAGCCTGGCTCTTGAACAACTGCGGCACCAAGCCCAGCCCCACTTCCTCAAGGCTGCTGCTCAAGATTCTCCTGATTCCTTGCTGTTTCCAGACAGCCTTGTGGAGCTAAGACTGAATGCATTTCAGCATAGATGGCCATCACAAAATTGTACATTGGCTCCTGGCTGGCCTGGGCCAGGGCCAAGGCAGAGGGGGCCGTTCCCTCACTGTTTCCAGGATGGCTTCGCGGGCCACATGAAACCACTTCACGGGCTGCATCTGGCCCCCAGGCCTTGTGTTTGACATGTCTAACCTAGAGCCACTCTGTGAGTGAGATGGGTGGTCTCTAAATTTGATATATCAATAAAATAAAAAATACAATTCCAACAAATCTTGAGGGCACTGAATTTGGGAAGCCTGAGACATTTGCTTTTTCCCCCAAACTATTTTGTGTATCCAAGACTTGATTACTAGATTCCCAGTCCAGATTTTCTGATGAATAAGGCGGCTAGGGAGAATTTATTTATTTTTTTCTATTACACACTTCTTAACCTCCCTTCTCCCTTGGATAATTTGGACAGCATTCAATCAAATCTCCTAAACTTATGAAAGCCTACAATGCCATTCAATGATGACAGTTAAACAAAACAAAGGAAATATCACACTTACAACAGTAGATGGCGGTTCCTGAGATTTAAGTGGTAATAAAGGTGGTGGGGAATCCTGGTCTCCAGTATCATTCTTTCTTTCAGCTAAATAAGAGACTCCACTGACAGAAGGCTGATAGGGGGGCTGCAAAGCAATTGCTGAACGGATTGGGTCCCCAAGCTTCTTAGCACTGGAACTCAACTGCTCTTGAGACAACTGAGCAGACTTTGCTGAAGCTTAAAGGCAAACAGTGTAGACAATGCTGTGATTCAAAAGTGTAGAATTAACATGCTTAAAATACATTATTGCGCGAGTTTCCTTTGAAAACGTTAAAAACAAGTATTACTGGTGGAAATTTCATACATATCATCAAGGTATGCTGGCTGGGTTATTTCCTTCTCATATCTTTTAGAACACCCATTAGATTTTCAATGTAGTGAATGAAATGTAAAAATATGCCACACTAGCATAAAGTCACATTTCCCCCTTCTGTAAGGGTTAGGATTAGGCACTATTTAGGATGACTAAAGCCATATAGGGCCGTCACGTGGTATGCTGTAGTCTTCAAAAGCGGACTTTTTTTTTCCAATTTTTAGTTTCGTTTTTAATTTGGTTTTAAATCTACTACTTCAAACTATTATTTTATTGGTGGTTTGGTAATTTAAAAACTACTATATTTTTTTACATGAATGATTTTGTTATTGGATTATTGATTACCCTATCACCACGCTGCTTCCTAATTACTTGGATGTAAAAATTGAAAAATTAATAAAACTTGTTATTAAAAAAAACTACTATATTTTTCATCAGTGGATTGAGCTTCAATACTAAGATTCTCTTTCAATATTGTCTGCCGTAGAAAAAGCACAGCATATTTGGAAGTTGGGTTTTTTGGGGGGAGGGGACAGATAGAACCAACTAAATTCTTCCCTCCATAGGGGAAGTTTTCTTGTGTAGTTTCATGAGCAGTCTGGGAAGGACCAGACTGCATTTGGAAGCAGCAGCCTAGGAAAAGTCAGGAAAACAGGGAGACTGTGAGACAACGATGGGAACAGAGATGGTTAAAGGATGTCACATTTTGTGTTCTTACGTACTAGATCATCCCAGTCTAAATCCATCTGATTAAGCCCATGGAAGGCCTTATCGGATAGCTGCTATTTTCCCCACCAAAATAGAATCATCCCCAGGATAAGACCTTTGAACATCAACATCAATATCTTAGAAAGATGCTCACCTGGCCTTTCTGAAATAACACTTTTTCTTCCACTGGAGGACAGACCAAATGATTCTCTAAAAGTTGCATGTACTTCAGATTCTGCAGCCTTTTTGGGGACTTCTTTTCCTGCTGGTAACACTGGAAAACATTCATTAGCAGAATATGAATATTTAACCTTGTAATTTTATGAATGTTAGGAAGTAGTTTTAGAGCAGGGGTCTTCAGACTTGGCCCTTTTATGACTTGTGGACTTCAACTCCCAGAATTCCTGAGCCAGGCACGCTGGCTGAGGAATTCTGGGAGTTGAAGTCCACAAGTCATAAAAGGGTCAAGTTGGAAGACCCTGGTTTAGAGGCACAAGATACAATGAAGTACCTTCTTTCTGGGTGTCAATAAAGATTTTCCACAACTGTGATATCCCACTGGAGGGGGATTTTTATATATTTTGCCCAGAAAGTAAAGAACAGATTGGGAAATAATCTGCACCTTATTTAATAGAAATAGCCACAGGTGGACGGGAACTGGACCATAGGTTGGGGACCCGTTCTAGTGCACGGGTGTCAAACTCGATCGCATCACATGATGTATTGTGATGTATCAAGAGGTTTTTTGCCTTTGTGGAGCCAGGGTGGGCTGGCCTGCACATGACTCATCCGGCCCAGAGGCCGCCAGTTTGACACCCCTGTTCTAATGGCTTACCTGTCAGTGTTGAGGGGGGGAGTCTTAGAGATTTTTTGATTGGGCTGTTTGCTGGTCTGATATTAACCTTGGAGTTAATTTATGGTGATCTGGATGCTACTTGCTGGTGGAGATGCGCTAGGGCAGTGGTTCTCAACCTTTTTAATGCCGTGGCCCCCAACTGGTCGTAAGTTGAGGACTACTCAACCGATCGTAAGTCGAGGACTACTCAACTGGTGCAGCACCGTTTGCAGAATGGGACTTTTGGTGGGCTCAGCAGGGCAGAGACAGCCTGGACAATTCCTATTGGCTTTTGAAAGCCAATAGAATTAGACTCTATTCAAGAGAGTCTATTCTATTGGCTTTCAAAAGACAATAGAATAAAAGGGAGTAGCACAGCTAAGGAAAAGGGGGAAAAAATGGCGGACTGCGTTGTTTGGCGACCCCCGTGAAATGGTCGTTCGACCCCAAATGGGGTCCCAACCCACAGGTTGAGAACCACTGAGCTAGGGTCTTTTTGTTCTTTTGGGGGCTGGGTGATAGTCCCTTTTGCATAGTCTATAGAGATGTTATTAATGGCCATGTGTCTATTGATCAACAATCAAGTAAACAATACCCCAATCAAGAAACTGCCAAAGAAGCGAACAACCCAATCAAAGAATCTCTAAGACCACCCCCACCAACACTGATAGGCAAGCCATTGGAATATAAACCGACAGCAAACAGCACTCCTTTACTAGCACTGATGATGTTACCTAGTTTGGGTAATGAAACATCTGCAAGAAAATAATCAAGCTCAGACAGCACCAAGGACTCCTCATGTCAACCCTGAGCTACAAATATTCCCCTTTATTAGTATATTTGGAACTGTATTGCGTTACATTAAAAAAACCTCACTTTTTACAACCCTCAGGGCAACTGGATGGAGGTGAGCGTTTACTGGCTGTGTGCCCTTTCTGATGCCTATGCAGAGTTCACAGCAGATATTTTTTCTTTCTGCCCTAGGAGAGAAACATCTGCCGCTACTTAGGATTGAACTCTCAACCTTCTGAGTGGGAGTCGAGGGTCGAGGCCACTATGCCACTCCAATATTACTCTACATTCTTAAAAGAAAATTGGTCTATTAAAATTCTCAACCCCCCCACACTTATTTTGCAGTGTACGGAGGATGATCCTTCAGTTGGGGTGAAAACTGCATAGGTTGTATAGATGAGTGAACTGATCTATACTTAGTGTGAAAGCTATAGTTTAATGAAGCATATAGGGCAGTGGTAGGCAACCTTGGCTCTTTTATGACTCGTGGACTTCAACTCCCAGAATTCCTGAGCCAGCCATGCTCAGTCCACGAGTCATAAAAGAGCCAAGGTTGCCTACCTGATATAGGGTTTTGGCGGGGGGGGGGGGGAGGGAATTCCAACACTTGAGACTTTCAAACTGTTCCTTGTACAATAACCATTTCATCAGTCGCATTTGGCTGTTCCGTTTTTTTCAGAGCCTACTCACCTTCATTTCTCAGAGAAAACAAATAAGCTGTGTCACCAAGCTTAATCAGCTCACTTGTAGATTCTGAACCACCAGCCTCCCAAGATGGATCAAGCAGCTCTGATGACTGAGAGGACCTAAATGGAACACAATAAAGTAATGTGCTTTTTGATTTGGCCACAAGGTGGTAGAATACATAGGAAGCATCAATCAACGCCTTCAGTCATTCAAAAATTAAGAGGGAAGGGACGTTGGGCCTTCTGCTCCCAACTTTAACAAAACAGATCAATAAAATATTAGAAAATAATAAAAAATTAAAGTAAAACCATAACAGAAACACACTGAGAAAAAGGTTAACTTCAACTTGCTAACTGAGTACTTATTCGGTGCAGTGCAACTGGTGCCTTCTTTCCTGTGCCAGGCTTCTTTCATGAATGTAGGTCAGTGGTGGCGAACCTATCGCACGCGTGCCAGAGGCGGCACTCAGAGCTCTCTCTGTGGGCACGCGTGCCATGCCCCAGAGATGGCAACCGTCCCTCTTCAACCAGGCACCCGCTAACTCACCGAGGTCCCACGTGGCCAGATGCATCCCAGCACGGCTGGTTCCCTCCCCTCTGTCCCATCCCTCCTGGCCTCGCATGCTCTCCTTTTCCCGGGCACAATCCTCTGCATTGCCTTCTCAGCTGCCGGCTTCTCTGAACTGCTGCCGGTGGGCTGCGGAGCCCCAGAGTGTACCGGTTGAGGGGCCGGCAGCTTGTGGCTGCTGACGGACACTGTCGGCCCCATGCGCTCGCTGGCCTCTGTGTGTGGGTGCCGATGTGTCAGGCAACAGCCACCCCGGCCCCTGCCTTGCCTTGCCCTGTGACAATGGCACCCCTGCCCTGCCTCGCCTTACCCCGCAGGACGAGCCTCCTCCCCACCGCCTCATCTGCCAGAGACCCCCCGATCTTCCCCAACCCTGCCCAGTCCCCAGAGGCGTCCCTCCCCACAAGCAACATCAAGGTGACCATGCCTACCTTGGCCACACCCACCCAGTCTGCCATGACCACCACAGCCATGCCCACCTAGTGGGCCACGCCCACTTGGCACCAGGCAAAAAATAAGTTGGTTTTGGGTTGCAGTTTGGGCACTCGGTCTTTAAAAGGTTCGCCATCACTGATGTAGGTCCTGAGAAGATGCCAGAGAAGCCTTGGCTGCTACTAGTGTGAAAAACAGCAACATGAAAGGCCCCGATTAATACAGTAGTGGCATGTCATATGGCGGTAGGCAGAGCTGGATGTGGGAGTAACTGGCAGGAGTAGGTAAGTAGGCAGCCAATAGAGCAAAGAGGGAGATGGGCAGATAGGAGGAGTTCAAGAGGAGGCAGTCCCTTATCTTACTAAGGCTCGGGGCTGGGAAAGGACCACGCTGTGAATGGCTTGGGCTGGTGGGTCCTCACCTAATGCTCAGATCCAGTGAATAAGGCCATCAGTTAACCATGACTGCTGGGATTGAAATCATTAAGCAATGTTGTTATGTGACATCAGGCTATACGACGGTATTGCTTAGCGACAGTAATTGCAGTCCTTATTACCATTGTTAACTTAAGACTACCGATAATTTATTAATTAAGCCATCTTGACTCTTTCCACTATGTCAGTCAAATATGTACAAGTAAATCTAACTGCAGATGCAGAGATAAGAAGGTAGCAAATGTTGTTCCAATAATTTTTTTAAGCGACTTGGAAGAGAAAGCACACATATTTACTGCAGTCAATGCTAATTCTACACAGAGTGTGTCAGGCACAATTATGACATCCTCTGTCTACGTATAAAATATTTCAAAGGTGCAGCCCACTGTACATGCCAAAGGTGAAATATCTGAAAGGAGCCTGAACAATTATATTGCGTACAAACCCACAGCCACACTCCACCAGGAACTATCCAAAACCAAAAACGTGATACTAAGGATGAAAGAAACAACGTAATCTACAAAATCAACTGTAACCATTGCAACCAATTCTATGTGGGACAAACATCACATCAATTAAAAATCAGGATCCACGAACACCGGCTGGCAGTCAAATGCCACGATTCCAAATCTTTCATCTCTACCCACGCCGACACCAAAGAGCACCAGTTTGATTGGAACAACACAAAAATTATCAGCCACGCTACCACCCGCCAAGCTTGTGAGTTCATTGAAGCTTGGCACTCCACAAGCAATTCCATTAACAGACACACTGACCTACAACCAGCCTACAAACCCCTCAGAATCCAAATCAACCACATAGCCAACTAGAGACAGCACTGACCCTCAACCAATCCACAGAAGCCCCCCCCCCAGCAGTTCACCTCACAATGACCCTGACCTGAGGTAACTTCCCCGTCACAAGACTCACTGATGACTCACACCTGACCCATCACAAGACCCTCATTTGATACATCCACACCTGAAGCCCTTATAAACAGGAGAACGCTGACACTGACATACCCTAAACTCTGCTGAAGATTTTACCTAGCCTGGTAATGAAACATTTGGAAACCAACCCACAAGCTCGGAGAACGAACCGTCACCCTCATCCTACACCCAAGCTACAGATATTTGCCACCATTGCATGTTGTATTATTCCTTATTAATTCTACTTAACAAGGTGAAAACCCACTACTAATAAGCTCTTTAAAAGCTAGTAAAGCAGCAGGCAACTATGGACCTGCCTTACCCTCCAGCTGAGGGTTGCTCTAGGGAAGGAACCGGGATGTCATAGCCATCTTCTGGCTTCTTTGAATCCGTGGGCTGGACTTCTGTTTCTGCTATCACCTTAAGACCATCTGCTTAGAAACAAAAAACAAAAAAGCAATTAATACAATAAATAAATAAATAAATTGAAAAATATATTAACTCTTTTCCCTCCTGTGCATACCCCTGTCCTGGCACATTGTAGAATCTATTAGCCAATGAAATAATAATAATAACAATAATAACAATAATAATAATAATAATAATAATAATAATAATAATAATAATAATAATAATAATAATAATATTATATGGATGATCTGAAGCTGTATGGAAAAACATCATCTGAAATAGAATCGCTGCTCAACACTGTCCGTATATATAGCCAAGATATTGTAATGGAGTTTGGTTTGGACAAATGTGCCACACTTACTATCAAACAAGGAAAAATAATGAAAACTGAAGGAATCAAGATGCCCCACGAAAATAATATTAAGAGTCTGGATGAGGAAGAGTACTACAAATACTTGGGTATCCTTCAAGCTGACAACATCAAGCACACTGAAGTCAAGAAAAAGATTAGAGGTGAATACATCAAGAGAGTGAAGAAGATCTTAAAGTCCAAACTCAATGGAGGAAATACCATAAAGGCAATCAACACCTGGGCAATCCCAGTCATTAGGTACACAGCTGGAATAGTGGACTGGACTCAAGCAGAACTAAAAGCAATGGATAGGCAGACCAGAAAAATAATGACAATGAATCATGCCCTTCATCCACGCAGTGACATTGATAGACTTTATCTACCAAGGCAAATAGGTGGGCGTGGAATGCTACAAGTACATCAGATGGTTGAAGAAGAAAAAATGGCTTTGGAAGAATATCTGAAGAACAATGATGAAGATGCACTGAAATTAGTATATCAGGAAGGCTTACTAACTACTGGAGAGACCAAACTGGCCTACAAGAAAGACCAAATGAAGAACAGAATAAAGGCATGGGAAGACAAAGCACTACATGGCCAATACATTAAAAAAATAGCTGGGAAAGCAGATAATAACAAGACCTGGCAATGGCTAAGAGCAGGAAAATTGAAGAAAGAGACGAGGGACTAATTCTGGCTGCACAAGACCAAGCCTTAAGGACAAATGCATACAAAGTCAAAATTGAGAAGACAGCAACAGAGAGTAAGTGCCGCCTATGCAAAGAAGCTGAAGAAACAGTGGACCACTTGTAAGCTGTTGCAAGAAGATTGCACAAACTGATTACAAGCAGCGGCATGACAAAGTAGCAACAATGGTGCATTGGAAGATCTGCAAAAAATATCATTTGCCTGTAAGCAAAAACTGTGGGATCATAAAATAGAGAAAGTCATAGAAAATGATAAAATTAAACTGCTCTGGGACTTCAGAATTCAAACAGACAAGCACCTGCAACATAACACCCCAGACTAAACAATTGTCGATAAGAAAGACAAAAAAGTCTGGATAGTGGACGTGGCAGTGCCTGGAGATAGCAGAATAGAAGAGAAAGAAATGGAGAAGATAACAAAATACAAAGACCTACAAATAGAAATAGAAAGACTGTGGCAAAAGCAAGCAAGGGTAGTACCAATAGTAATAGGCTCCTTAGGTGCAATCCCAAAACAACTGGAGCACCACTTGAACACCATTGGCATTGACAAAATCGCTATTAGTCAATTGCAAAAGGCGGCCTTATTAGGAACTGCTTCCATCCTGCGACGATATCTGTAATACCATCAAACATCCACATCTGCCTATCCCAGGTCCTGGGTAAGGACTCGATAGGTAGACAAAATGCCAAATCCAGTCTGAACATCTGGCTGACTGTGCGATGATCGATAATAATAATAATAATAGTAATACCATCAAACATCCACATCTGCCTATCCCAGGTCCTGGGTAAGGACTCGATAGGTAGACAAAATGCCAAATCCAGTTTGAACATCTGGCTGACTGTGCGATGATCCATAATAAGTGATAGTGATAGACTTTATCTACCAAGGCAAATAGGTGGGCGTGGAATGCTACAAGTACATCAGATGGTTGAAGAAGAAAAAATGGCTTTGGAAGAATATCTGAAGAACAATGATGAAGATGCACTGAAATTAGTATATCAGGAAGGCTTACTAACTACTGGAGAGACCAAACTGGCCTACAAGAAAGACCAAATGAAGAACAGAATAGAGGCATGGGAAGACAAAGCACTACATGGCCAATACATGAAAAAAATAGCTGGGAAAGCAGATAATAATAAAACCTGGCAATGGCTAAGAGCAGGAAAATTGAAGAAAGAGACCGAGGGACTAATTCTGGCTGCACAAGACCAAGCCTTAAGGACAAATGCATACAAAGTCAAAATTGAGAAGACAGCAACAGACAGTAAGTGCCGCCTATGCAAAGAAGCTGAAGAAACAGTGGACCACTTGGTAAGCTGTTGCAAGAAGATTGCACAGACTGATTACAAGCAGCGGCATGACAAAGTAGCAACAATGGTGCATTGGAAGATCTGCAAAAAATATCATTTGCCTGTAAGCAAAAACTGGTGGGATCATAAAATAGAGAAAGTCATAGAAAATGATAAAATTAAACTG